AATATATTATAAAATTTTAATTATATAAATATAAATAACAAATCACTTATATAAATAAATTAAATTGATCAAATAAATAACTTTTAATTTTTATATTTATTTTTTAATTTATAAATATATTATTTTTATATCATTATTTATTTATTTTTCCTACAATTCAAGCGTGTTACTCAAATAGTTAAAATGCAATGGGTGTACCGGCACCCAATGCCCACCCATCAATGGAAGAAAGAGTCATTTCGAATTTCATGTGGAGACTGGAGCGTATAGACCCAAGACTCGTCTCAACATGACAACATGGGTGTGGATTGAGTCAGACATGGGTCGATTGGATCAGGTCTAGTCTTTTAGTTGGACCTAATTTTTGTTAAATTTTTTCAGTAAATAATTCTTTTTTAGATTTAAATTATTAATTTCGAGTGGGTGAAATCGAGTCTTTGATATAAACCCTAAATTTTTGTGAGATTTAAAATTCCTTTTTCCTTTTTCCTCTAAACTTATCAAACTACCTGACTTTAAAATAATTATTTATTCATAGATGTTCCATTGGTAAATGAGCTAAAGCCTGCCCAACCTATAAAAATGGTGTAACAGCTAAACCCTACCGTCCTGCCCGACCCCCAAAAAAAAAAAAGTACGGAAGAGCTCAAACCCCGCCCGACTCGTGCCTTTCCCAATTTCAATACCCTAACTCTGACCTTGGATTTGATTGACCAAAAGAAAAACCCGATCCCTAATCTCGAACTCAAAGCAACCTGAACTCCAGAAAAAAGCGAGTTAGTAATGGATTCCGCAACAACGACGGCAGCCGGGGACAAACCCATCATTGTTCAAGCTATGGCTCGAGTCGGTAAGGAGGTGGTGTTGAGGAATATCTGGTTGATCATCAGATGCGACCCTCAGGAAGGAATCTTCGAAACTTTCAATGGCATAGGGCCGCCGGAAGATAAGGAACGCTTTGGAAGTACTCTTCTGGGGACAAGTTCTATCTTTGTCAAATCCTCCTTGTATGCAGTTGGTGGCCGAAAGCCCAACAGTGATGAGGTGAGCAGTTGCATCCGCTATCTTGACACCAATAAGCTTTTGGAGGGCTGGAAGGTCGGCACCCTACCATCTTCTTCTTTTGATTCTGTCCTTGGCGTTTATGATGATTCCATATACATACTTCCCGGTATGTGGAAATATGGTTATTATGGCATGGACGAGGATACGTATCGTACAGAACAAAGGGGCTACATCTGGAACACCACAGACAATCAATGCCGTCAAGACAGAATACGCCCTCCAGAAGATGGTGGAGAGAGGCAGTGGCGTAGGATTCGTGCTTGTGCTGCTTTGGATGGACAAGGGCTTCTAATTGCTATGGATGGAGAGAAGAACAACTTCTTTCTCTATGACCAAGAGAACAAGGATTGGAAGAGTTATTATATTGAGGATCCACTTCCCAAATTTTTTGGTGAGACTAGCTTTGCAGCATCCAATGGGAGACTGTACATCTTGGAGGTTCCAAGTATGTTCCCTGCCTTCTTATACATCTATGATATTGAGAAAAGGAAGCTCGTGATGGCCAAAATGCCTATTCCGAATTTTGATGATGACCTGTGGTCAATGGATAAGTGGGATAGAGTGGTCCGCCTAGTTTCCGTGGCTGATGACAAGCTTTGTTTTTTGTGGCTTGGTCCAGTTACTTATGAAAATGAAGATATGTGGCATCCTGTTCGAATCCTTCACTATCTCAAGGTTAAATTTTCCATCAATCCTAATCCTTCTAATTCAGAGGTTGAGGTTGAGGATGATAAAGGTTTTCACACAAACATCACTAAGTTATTATATTGCTTGCCAGGGTAACTCCTTTTCCATTTTCCCTTTTAATTTGCATGTCATATATACATCTTGATTTCTAACTATTCTTTTCTGTTAACAGTAGTTACCCTGAACAATTTGAAGCTGAATTGGAAGGCAGATCTCCCCTCTACCTCCAGCTGTTAGTGCTTTTCCATTTCCTCTTAATTTTTGCATCAACTATGCTGCTGATTCCTACCCCTTTTTTTTTTATTCTGTTGGTAGTGATGCATCTCAAAAACAACGGACAGACAATTCTTCCACAGAAGAAATAGGAACAAGGTTTTTACTACTCATTTATCCTCTTCCAATTTACGTTTTTAATTTTGGGTGACATTACCTGTTTATCCTCTTTTAATTTTTGTCTCTTGTTTGCAGCTTGATTTCTGGCAAACAATTTCAAAATCAAGCGAAGGACATTGCTTCCCCTATAGAAAAAGTAAAAAGAAAAAGGTTTTTACCCGTTTACCTCATCCATTTTTTCCTTTGTAGTTTCAGCTAGGTGACATTACACCAAATATACACCTTGATTTCTGAAATATTGTTTTTCTGTTGGTAGGACTCAGCTTGTAGATCCACCATTATCACGTCACGAACAGAAAAGGGCTAAGGTTTGTTGTTGGTGTTTCTATGCATTCTCTACATTCCTGTTGTATTGCATTTATTTACAGCCAAATCGTCAAATTGCTTCCTGAACTTTTTCTTTTTTTACCCAGATTTCACACCCTAAAAGAATTTTAATTCAGAAATTGCATCACAAAATCATACCCCAGTTTTGATGACTTTAAAATATAGAGTTTAAATTTACAATCCTACAAAATAAAAACAATCCAAGACAACCATTGATTTTTTTTTTTTTTTGAACTAGTACAAATGGGGGATGGGGAATGGGATTGCCCAGGCTTGAACCTATGCCACCATACTACTCAAAGGAGTTGTGGCCATTGGGCCGTAATGGTGGTTGGTGATGACCATTGAAATTGAATAAAACAAAATAATATGAAAGTTAGAATTCCAATATATATATATAATATTGGAAATT